CTAAGCTTACATCTACACTATAGTCAGGATTGACACTGCAATGACTGATGCAACGGGGGGGAGGGGGGGGGTCGGTTTAGCAGGTTTAGTGAAGAGTCTAGACCTGTCAAATTGACCACAGATCACTCTGCAGTTTACCCAGGTACTCTATCCCAAATGCGAAGAGTGAGGAAAGTTGATGGAGTGTAGACACTGCAGGAAGTCAAGTTAAGCTACTTAAATTGCTTTACTGTGGAAGTGAAGATGTAGCCTATATTGTGCCATATAACTTTAGTAATGACTGTACCCACAAGGAATAAACTAGACATTTTCCATTTATTGAAATTGATAGATTTTGAGTTAAAAAATATCTTACTGAAGGATTTAAAAAAAATTTTTATTTAGTGTAGACACTGCAGGAAGTCAAGTTAAGCTACTTAAATTGCTTTACTGTGGAAGTGAAGATGTAGCCTATATTGTGCCATATAACTTTAGTAATGACTGTACCCACAAGGAATAAACTAGACATTTTCCATTTATTGAAATTGATAGATTTTGAGTTAAAAAATATCTTACTGAAGGATTTAAAAAAAATTTTTATTTAACTGGATGCCATCCAGAAGTTGACTTTCTTTGATAATCTTGGGAGGAACTTACTTCTCTTTTTTTAATTTACAACAAACACTTTAGTGCAGGTTGAAAGCTTTCTTCACACAAGCAGAAATGCACTAAAATCAACCTAGAAATATTTTTAAAATCAAGAAAGTTTATACAGGCAGTCCCCGGGTTACATGGATCCGACTTACATCGGATCCCTACTTACAAACGGGGTGAGGCAACCCCGCACTAGCTGCTTCCCCCCAGCAGACCAGAGAGATGCGAAGCTAGTGTCCCCTCCCCAGCAGACCAGGGAGACGCAGAGTGGCTTTTCTCAGCAGACACCTCAGCTTGAGAATAAAGGACTGAGGGAAGTGAGGTGTGGGAGAATAAAACTGAGCTCTGGAGAAATGTTTGACTAGAGTTTCCCCTACAATATGTACCAGTTCCGACTTACATACAAATTCAACTTAAGAACAAACCTACAGTCCCTATCTTGTACGTAACCCGGGGACTGCCTGTATTAAAAACATCTGTTCTTTTTGCAATGTCGGTATGTCTAATTTACATCCCTCTCTAAAGAATTGATTTTTAAAGTTTCAGTTGGTACCAAGCATATATGAATAGGAAACTGATGACATCACCACACTATCCCACAGTCTCACATTTCAACATATTTTGAAATCTGCTTTGGAAAAGCTAATATTTGGAGCAGAAGAGATTTTTAAATCTGGATGGAGTGTCAGTGCAAAATATGTTGGTGGAAGTAGTTTACCTAGTCCCACCCTGTAGTTAAATTGTCTCAGGGCAGGCACTATTAATTTCTTTACTTTCCTGAGTATTAATTAACTGACTTAAGGTCCCTCTAGTGACAGTCCCTCACCGAACCTTCCTCTACCACAAATTGCTTTGTGTATATCTTTCTTTCATTACTGGTATGCAGTCCTGCTAGTAAAATAAATTTAAAATAATAGGTAACATTTGTAGTGTTAAAACACTGATTGGAACTTCAATCTTGTCCGGTCTCCTTAAATATGTTAACTCTTGAGTCAATATGTGATCTTTGTCTATAATGCAGTAATGTATCCTGTTACAGAAATGTAGCTCCACATACAGGTTACGGTCTATATATCTGTCATTTTGTTAATTCAGGTAATTGTTCACGTTTATTTCTAGTAATGGTCCATTTCTCATTGTACAGCTAATTGTACAGACTGATGTACTAATTAATTTGAAATATCCTTTTACTACTGTTTGTTAAAGGGAAAAGCAAATAGAAATCTACCAACTGATCTAAGTCTTGACATTTCTTTTTCTTTAAGAAATATCTTTGTAGTTCCTCAAATTTGGGAATAGATATGACAAGGGCCACTGTATTTAGAAAGTAGTACCATACCCCTTCTTGGGCCTGATTATTTGACCTGTCGATTTTTTAAGAAACTGTGAATCTTACTTACTTAGTGGTGAAGAGATTTTTTTAACTAACATGGCTGTTTTGCTGTAATAGATTATATTGTTCAGAGAACTGGTATAAATTATACTGGTAAAAGAGTTATTTTCCTTAAAAGCATTATCTATGCTAGGAGGGTTTGTTAACATAGCTATGATGGCAAACCCTTTTAAGTGTAGACAATGCTTAAGTGTAGTGCGGTGCAACAATGCAGAACTCATATTATGGAAGTAATTTTAGAATAAGTTGAATTGCAGTTTTTAGTCACTGTGGAGGGAGGTCACATATAGAACAGTTAACATAATACATCTTTGTTATTAGTAGCTGTGATACTTCATATTCTTTATGAAGGTATGCTTTGATGTTTATATGACATAACTAAGATATGCTTTAGGCAAGATAATTTGTAAGGTATCATTAGAAACATCGTGACTTACTGAATATGACACACAATTTGAAAACCAAATGAGAACATATGAGATTATAGAAATTATTTATATGTACATTGGTTTTCAGAGGGAGTCTCTTTGGAATTAAAAAATTCTAGGTTTAAGTCCTATGACTGGATTTTGCTGTCTTAGCATTGTTGACACTTAGGGTATGTCTAGATTACATCCCTCCGGCGACAGAGGGATGTAAATTAGACATACCAACATTGCAAATGAAGCGAGGATTTAAATCCCCTGCGCTTCATTTGAATAAAAATGGTGGCCGCGTTTTGCCGAGTCAGCAGTTTGTCGGCAAAAAACAGCTGTCAAGAAGGGGATTGGGCAACAAAGACTTTCTTGACAGCCACTTTTTGCCAACAAACTGCTGACTTGGCAAAACACAGCTGCCATTTTTATTCAAATGAAGCGCAGGGGATTTAAATCCTCGCTTCATTTGCAATGTTGGTATGTCTAATTTACATCCCTCTGTCGCCGGAGGGATGTAATCTAGACATATCCTAAATATAGTACTTCATTGTCATTCTTCAGAGGAAATGCTAACCAGAAAGCTTTGTTGTCTGTCTCTGGTGGATTTCCATGTGGGAAGTTGGAGTATGTGGCTGTATTCCAAAATGTTAAGGGATTATCCTTATCTTCCGGCCAACATTTGTTCACTTAGTGTAATAGTTTCTACTGTTAAATAGACTGATGGATGGCTGGTCTGTTTGCCAACACTTTAACCAAACTACTACTGTCTAATTTATCACTTTACAAAGCACTTTGGAGTCCCTTGAAAATGAAAGGTTCTGTAAAAAGCTATATTTTAATTTGATAATTTGCTTTTAAAAGCAGAGTTTTTAAAATTTTATATGCAGTTATTAAGCCTAGAATTTTGGATCTTATTTCCTCATAGTTTCTTGGGGGAAGAGCCCTATGACTAGGGTCAGTACAGAAGACAGAACTTCATACTTTTTAACCAGTGTTCTAATGGGGGAGAGGAGAAACCTAAGGAAACCAGCACATACTTCCATTTGTACATAAAATTATTTTTCATTTTAAGACCTTTCATAGAGGTTCATCCTTTCACAATCTGATGTTCTCTGACAGCTTTCCCTTCAGTTTTTTTCTGTGTTGCACTCTCCTACGAGGTGGGATCTCTGCAGTGGTGTGCGTGCCACAGTGCTAGCCTTCTGGTTTCTGTGTCTGTAGTTTTCTTTGTTGAAGTACCATAGAAAGCTTGTGTGTCTGAAAATCTTCAGATGTTTAACTACTAACAACCTCCTTTGCAACATGTCTGCTGCTGCCCATACTACTGAGAAAAGGTAGTGAAAATCTCCTCGGAAGGTAATATGAAGTGGAAAGATATCCAGGAAACAAGCAGGAAAAATTGGAAATCCTGACACAGTCAAGGAACTGTAATTTGATGGTGGGGTAACTCGCATGATTGGAGTACTGTCATGCATGGGTATAAACAGTTCAGGAAGGACAAGTGGGGAAGAAAATGTAGAGGAGTTGTATTGTACATGAGAGAGCAGTATGATTGCTTAGAACTCTTGTGTGAAACGGCAGAAAAGCCTGTTGAGGGTCTTTGGGTTACATTTAGAGATGAGGAACAATAGTAATGTCGTGGTAGGCACCTGATATAGACCATGTTGAAAAACATGTCATAGTATCATGAGTCCTGCTGTACAGTGACTCGGAGATGAAAAATGCCACTAAATAACATTTAGATATTATACAGCATGTTCAGATAACCTTTCACTACAAACCATTAATAAGTATAGTGTGGAAGGGAGAGCTTTATCTTCTCTTCTGTGGCATTCCCTTTCTATAGACTTTCCATATATTTGCTCTTAACATATCAAAGCCCATATCTGTGCAAATACAATAATTTGCATGGCCATTTATACTTTCAGATCAGCCATTTGAACATACAAATACTGTGGAATTTGCTTGTTGCATTTGAGTGTACAATTTTACTGGTGATTTTGGACTTATGAGAGTAAATCTTCAACTGATGTCATTTGTCATAACTCTGTTGAAGTGGGACTTATGATTATTTCTAACTACTGAGGATATGCATCGAAGCATAATTATGAAAGATCAAACCATAATTATGAAAGTGACGTAGGGCTGAAGTTTTTGCAGTTCCTGCACTTTAGATCTTTGTAATTGTGGGGCAAAATGTAATGTTTTAGTGAGATAATAGAAGCCTTTGGATGGAAGCTTTTTTTGATGGGTTTTTGTTATCTGCTCAGATGTTTAGAATATTGACAAAAATTCCAGGGTGGAGAGGTGGGGGGATTGAGGGGCTGAATTAGTGAGTAGAGCACAAGTGAGGTAACAAAAAATATGCCACTGGTAATGGCGATGATTATCTGCGGAATGTGATTACTGATTATTAATAATATATAGAAAGAGAACTTTCTTTTTTAAAATACCATTGCCATTATCTAAAGAGTTTGTTTAATTCCAAACAAAATATATGGATTCAAATAAGCAAATGAAAAGTCTTTAAGTTATTACTTCAATCTTTCCCTGTTTAGGATAACTACACCTTTGCACAGCCAGGGATTCAAAAGAAAGTGAAAATGCTGGAAGAACTTGTTAGCCGGATCGATGGTAAGTCTTAAAAGCTAACCTAGGCTCTAAATGATATTTCATCGCAAGTCATTAGTTAAAAGCTTTGCGAGTAGTGTAGCCAATATCAGTGCAGTTATCTACCATGAGAGTGGAGCACAGCCTTTCTCAGGCGAGGTGTCATACTCAATCAACTTGTGGTATAGTGGCCTTTGCAAGATCACTGCCGTGTATCATTTAAAGGAAAGCCACTAGAGCATGAGCCACTTTCATTACTTTTTATTAAGGCAATATAATCAAAATTCAATGGCACTCTCTTTGCAGCAGAGTAATGGCTGCATACTAAAGGCAGCCAGCATTTATTTCACATTAAGCTCAATGATTGTTGCAATTCAGCAGAGTCACAGTGGTTGTTTATGGTTGTCCTTCGGCACTGTGTTTTGTTCCTTTGTGCATCGTTTTCCTTTCAAGAATGCTGAGTAATTTTTCTGTAGAATCCAATTAATTACAAACTCTGTAAATAACATCTTTATTATAGATAAATTACAGTATGTTACAGGGATAATTTTTAGATTATGCTTTCGTGTTTTATCAGGGACGTTGAAATGTTTTCTACCTTCATCCTTAAAATAGTTCCCTCCATGAAATGCTGACTGTCCTAGTGCTATAGCAGAGTTTAATTAAATGAAATTCAAGAGATAATGCTTTGCCCATTCTAAACATGTACTCCTGGTAGTTTGTTAAATTAATGAACAAAGCATTAACAAAGTGATGCCAAGCAGAACTAAGCATATATTTGTGACACTACTCTGTCGATGAGAGAGAGAGAGATTTCTTAAATAGCTGCAATACTGAATAATCTTTTTGAAAAAGATGAATTGTCTTTTCATTATACATACTGTAAACTGTTCTTGCATCAGGACTTACTGCAGAAAATGTTACATTTGTTTACACTTATTTGCATTCTGAATACTTGACATGTATCTCTGTACTTTCTTAGTGTCAAAACAAATAATGGTTAATGATAAAATTAGTTAAGAGGAATTTTAAAATAATTTTTATATTGACAAAATGAGGGAAGGAAAACCAATCTTAAAAATATAAATTGCTTAGAGACTGTGAAAATGTATAAGCTATTGGATTTATGTGTGTAATAAATTTTGTGTAATTATTTGTGTAATTTATTTTATCAATGTTAGTGGTTTTAGGCCAGAAAGAACTTTTATTCTCTGCACCGCCAAAAAACAAACAAACAAACAAAAAAAAACCCTAACTTGACAGCAAATGAGTTTATACTGTTATATTGTAATGATAATTTTTCTGCTTTAAAAATTATTTCTTTCAGCTATGTTCTTTTCCTTCTGACATACAGTATTATGGTACTGTACATTACTGTGTAGTTATGGGAATGTTTTTGATGATGCCAGTCTCTTGACTGCAATTACTCTACTGATAACACCATATTTGCAGAGACTTTTACATTAAAACAAATTGGATATTAACACATAAAATAACATGTTCTCAATATAAACTTTTTTTTGGTTAACTAGTTTTCTCCAGTATGCTCTAAACATTTAGTTAATAAATGTTCAGTTTTGAGGATTAAACCCATCATTTTGTCGGACAAACATTTTCAGCTTTTTGGGAAAAATGTGTTGCTGTTGCATGTCCAAGAAGGAAGTGATACTAAAGGCTCTTTTGTGCTATAAATGCAGATGGTTGAATATTTTTTTCTTATGTGGATTAAGTTTGTAAAGAAATTAATTATTCCTTAGTTGGCTTTTTCAGTTTCCTTTAAAAATTTGATAGTTAATACATCCTATTAATTAATCTCTCCTTTACCAGTTCTACACCTAGCAAGTCAGTTACTTCTTCAGGGGGTTGTCCACGCATATTTCACCATGCACCTGTGCTCCATGCTTGTGAAATTGGATTATTTTGAATGTCAGTGTCCACTGGAGCTATGCCTGCATCCTGCATATCCTACCTATGTAGCCAATGGCATAATGGTTGAGATTGTCTCAGTTGCCTTTTAGCTCTTTCTTACTGTCTATGGTGCTGCTTCTTTATATCTGAAGTATGGAACTGACTTGTATTTATCTTGAGTTGCAGATGTAATTTTTAGTATAGTTTGATTGATATCGTTTTTAACATGTTGGTGTGCAAACTATAATTGAAGTGCTGGACTTCTTAATGATGGATAATTGAAGTGCTGCTTTGTCCACCACCACTTAAGAACTAAAAATGAGAATCACTCCTAAAACTTTTCCGTGTGGCAAAATCCATGAAGTCATCCTTCCAGCTAATTGAGAAGATGACTTCTAAACTGTCACTCTCTGTTTTGGTAAGTCTTGCGTCCATCCACATTCAAACTTCAGGCTTCCTCCAGAAGGTCCCATTCATTCACCGTGGAATTGGCCAGAGCCTACCAGTCTTCCTTGACAATGTTCTGAGGAGATAGAGAGAAAATAGCACTGGCGACAGTGTGATAGAAAAGACAGATTTCCCTAGTCTACTTTGTGCTGATGAGGTGGCAGTTAATGAAACACTTGGAATGGACATCCAGACTCCTTGCATGGGTACTGAAGCACCCAGTACTAATAAAAGAGTACTTTGCCCTGTCATCTGCAGCATGCATACCTGAAAGTTGTGCTTGTGGAACTGACCTCCTCTGTACTGAGGAGACTCACAGTATTGAGAGACTTGACCATAACTGTCTCAAACAATTGCTGATGATGGCCCAGTGGCTTCTGGGTTGGCTACCTCAATTCTTGCACAGAATATTGCAGGGCCTTTTCAAACTCCCAAGAAAGTGGCTATATCCCTTGAAGAGAGAAAGAGAGTTCTCTCCTTCATCTGAACAAAATGGAGAGATGTTTCCCACATACTCTCCTCACTATGAGTCAAGCTGCTTTAATAGGGGGTCCAGATAACACAGGATGAGATATTAAGAAACAAGTAATGAGCCCCTTCTTGGTATCCTCCAGGACCTAATGTATTCCTATCTGATGTAAATATGGCCATTCCAGGCACCTTGGGGGTGCGGGGGAGTGAAAATCAACAGAAAAATCTCATTGGTTGTTCCTGCCACTAAAGCCAAATTCCCCTCATTTCATGAAAGGCAGCAGGTCGACCATATTCCTTAGCTGGAAAACTAGGATTTAGAGAGGATATCTGCCCTAAAATTCACTTACCTTGTAAGTTCTATTTCCAGTGGGTAGAAAACCCTATATTTGGACAGCATAAAATGTGGTGTGTCTTAAAATACAAGGACATACATAGGCATCATGTGAATATATTTTTAAATCATTCTTTAAATATAATTTGGGTGCCAAAGTCTAGTCACTAATAAATGAATGAAGAATTATTATTTGCAGTGTATTATAGCCAGCTCTGTAGAGCTCAAAAGCTTACCTCTTTCACCATTAAAAGTTGGTCCATTAAAAACGCTAGTTCATCCACTCTGCATCTTTGAAGAAGTGTTAGTAATACAGTACACAGTACTGTAGATCACGTACAAAATATTTTAGAGCATCAGTAAATTAAAATCCATGCAGTCTCTCCTGTTGGACAGATTCCAGCAGCAAAAGAAGATCCAAACCTATTTTTGTTAAGCTGCCTGACTTGTGTATGACAGATTAAGTTGTTTTCATATCACCTTTTAGTGGCTGTTTCACAAAGCTGTGTTTCAAAGCTGCAGCGCTGCATGGAGACTGGGGTCAGGGCGGGAGTCCCCAGCCGACCCCGGGTTCCACACGGTGCTTTCACCTTTGAAGTGTAGCCACAGCCCTAAGGGGAGATGCCCTATTGATTAATCTTTAAAGGCAGAGCTGCCCTATCGACTAATCGAATAGTTGATGCAAAATGCATCGACTATTTGATTAGTCAATTATTCACAATTTAACATCCCACAGTTTAGCAGGAAGGCACTGCTTGAACATCAAGAGAGTTGTGTAAGATACATACCCTAAAGGTTCCAGCATGTCCTTGCTCTATTTTCCTAAGTATTGCCTCCTTATCTACATTTGTACTCAAGTACGCAGCATACGTACTCTTTATACCACTATAAGTTATGTACGGTATAGATGTACCATAACTTTTCTTGCATTGCCTACCATTTGTGCTGCTTGCCGTTGCACCATTCTCTTACCATGTTTGCAGGTTAAAGTTAAGTCTTCCAGAACCCCACACCAAATTCAAAAGGAACTCACATGGCACACTCAGCAACCACAATTCCTGATAGGAAACCTCTGTCTATCTCCTGACACCACGATTCACTCAACTCTGAAACATGGACTAAGAATATGTTTCTTATTTGGTTTCTAGCCCTTGGTCCATGTTTATTCCATTCTTTCCTGCCCTGTTCAGTTCGATTTTTACACTCATTCCTTCTACTCCATTCTTTCAATTTTAGCCTGCGTTTTATGTAGTTTCCGTCTCCCTGCATCCATTTCTCTGTTCAGTTCTTTGTTCTTCCTCACTGCAACTCCAACAAGTCCCTCCTGGAAACCCATTACTTACATTTTTATAACATAAATAATGTAAATATAGTGAAAGAATATTAAAAAAAATGTTTGGCTATTGGCACACTAATTACTTTGTGTTTGTTATGTCCTTTTTTTCCTCCATTATATGTGGGTTTTTTTTAAAAAAATGTATGCTTTTCAAGGTAGGAATTGTGTTTTTATGTTTCTTCAGTCCCAAGCATACTGTGGGTGTTGCTGCAATATAAATACATCATCGTAAACTATTCATATTTGTACCTGTAAATCTTTGATCATTTGAAAATAGATGTATTTGTACAGCAATGGTACAATGAATTCCTAATTCTGACTGAGGCTTCTGGGTTATACAGTAATATAATATAAAAACCTCCATGATAAAGAAAATATTAATCAATAATGTTGTTTATAAAGCCAATTGAAGATTGCATGTACCCAGGTTACTGTAGAAACATTTGAAATATGATCTTCTTTATAATCATATAAGAGATTTTAGAAAACCAAATAAAATGTGAACTAACCAAGAGAGGTGGGGAAAAG